GCGTTCCGAGGAGATAACTGGTCATGATGCACGCAAAATTGGACCTATCCTATTGGTGTGCCTGTCCTGCGTTTGTTCAAAAATTTGTTCCCAACCGAAATGCGTTATTTCCTCCTCGTGAGTTTTGATGACCAGGGAGTGACTAACCAAGAAAGGATTGGCAATTCATATCGTACGCACAAAAGTAGAGTGAATGCCCGTATATTTCTGTATACTATTAGACTCCATCAGGTCAAAACAACTGTATCGTCGTTCCTAGCTTTCCAGTTCACGCCTCAACCGGCTCGGTATTCAACAAAATCAACCATCTAGTTTTTTACTCGTCGGATGTTATCTCTAAGACCCGAAGATCCAAGCGGCCTCTATTTTTAGTTCCCTCAAACTCTTGCCGAAAGAAATAAAAATCAGTGTGTTGAAAGGTAGGCGAATTCACTCTACTCAGAAAACAAATCCAAAAGAGCAGAAAAGTATCAAACGTCGTCGTTAAGTCAGTCTACTGTATCAACTCACAGCCCAACCCAATCGTTTTAGGCAAATGAGCGTTGCGAACGGAAAAGAATTCCATCACGGACCACATTCTCCTACTTCGATTTTCATCGACTTGTTTCACAACTGCAGGAGTTGTATTTCAATTATTGGCAAAGTGTAAATCTCAAAATATGGTCACAGCCGAGCTGAATGGATGGAGTGCGACGAATCGCGCGCACTGCAATCGGTCTGGGAAAGCGAACAGACGCGCAGACGCATGTGTGTGTGCTATAGACGCAATCACTGAGTGGAACAATCTGCCCCAAAATCAGTTCAGTTAGAAAGAAAATCAGTTGAATGTTTGGTTTACTCCGGACGGTTTTTCAAAATAAAATGACATAATACTGGTAGTTGATATCACAAGAATCGTGTATAGAATTTTTACATTTGATAAGATGAACAAATAAATCACATAAACATCAAAGTGCAAACGTTTGACCACAGGCAAGTAGGTAGCTGGATAACAAAAATATCGCATTGTTTAGTCTTACAGAAAGAATAAAAACGATCCTCCTGATATTTTTCTTTTCCGAGAAAAAAACGGCTTCCTGATACTTCAGTTAGGACCCCTGAGACACACTTATATGTGCTACACGCTGTCACATGAACCAGAATAGCGGTTACGCATTGCGACCTAATACGGTTTTGGATTTATCTTTGAGCTTTTGTAAACGGTATAGGTTGTCCATTAGTTCCAGAAACTAATCGCCGGTGAATAGCTAGATTATGAAGGAAATGATATAAAAGGAGAGGGTATAGATTAAATGTTGCAGCCATCACAATCGCTTGTTTAGGCAGGACATTTTACCCTATATCATGCACATGATAATCGTTTTTATGCAATAATTCTAAATTCAATCTACCGCAAGGGGATTGAGCATTTAGTCTTTTTGTGCAATTTTTTCCATATTTTGTAGTTCCAATGTGTGTGAATCGGTTTTACCCCACATACGTTTTTCCGACCACGGAATCAGCTGAACATCGTAGGACCAGACGCGCTAATTCTAACTGACCGAATGAATTATGATTGTAACTAAAATGTAAAGTTTGTGTTGAGTCTTCAATGTTTGAAACGTTTACATTTCAATTTCAAGAAACGAATGAGTCATGGTGTTTATTAGTGTGAGAGATCACGTGCAACGGGAAGTGATCGTAAGATCATTACATGGCACTTGTGTTCTTGTACGATCACTCGTAAGAACAGAAGTATGGTAGCTAAAACGTTTTCATATATTAATTTTTAAAATAAAGAATACAACTCATGTCACTATTATTCATCGTTTTGAAATACTATGATGTACCCTTGCGCTCACTGAAGTGATCAGTGTTATGCGAATACAAAAGAGTTCACAATACATTGTTTGCTTTCCACGATTTTCTAGACAAAACAGACCTATTTGGTGTTTATTTTCATTCGTCACTATATTTCTTTACACGAAAGTTGCATAATACTCGCATTAACACTGATTTACTTGGGGTCAGGTAAACAGAATCTAATGAAAAGCAACTGTTCTATCTTCAAAATGTGACATTTATATGTGAACCATGAAATGTAATTACAGAGTTGATCAACGTTTATTTACAATTATCTGTGAACGTAAGCCCTGATATATCATGAAGAACTAGTGTGTTGATTCGAAGTTTGATTAAACGTAAACTGATTGCATAAAACATGCAGTGTCACTTGAAAACTGCTCGGAGCGTACTGGTTGTTTGTTCCAATGTCCCGGACTCGGACAGAACACATGTGATTCCTGCAACTCTACCGGGTAAGTTGATTTGGCTTAAAAAGGGGCATCACTATCAAAATCACAATGGTTGCCAAAGTTGCCACTGCTAGAAACAACCAAAACAATGTTCGATCCACAATCAACGCAGCCATGCGCCATTCATTCATCACATCCAAGCTACGCTCTTCTGTTGATTGCTTGTGTTGTAATATTCTCAAGTATTCGTCCATCTTTGCTTGCTGTTGATCAGCTCGCCAGATGAGTCGACTCAACTCATCCACCACCGTACGACGCTCGATTTCACTGGCTTCCGTCCATATTCGTCCAGTTAGAGAATTCAGGTCTGAACAAGAACGGTTACGAGGCGTCTCTCTGGTCTCAGTCCATTCGGCCGAGGGATAGACGTTCTTTTCCTGATGCGTCTTTTTCTCATCACTCAAATGCCGACGACTGTTTAATCCATTATTGGTATGTGTTTCATCTGTGTGAATTAGCGTTGAACGTTCTTGGCTAAGCTCAGGGGTCATGGCATAAGTCATTTCCATGGGGAATTTGTGCACCAGCCCAAACCGACTCGAACTTCCACTGGCGATTGCATTGACTAAGGGACGACTGTTTGAACCCTGCATGATAGCATGATTGTACACAACAGAGTGATCTTCTGTATCCATCACGGTGGAGCAAGCACCAGGATTTGTTCGACCGGAGTACGTACCGGATTCTCGTCTAGATGAGTGTGTCCATTGTTCGATTCTGGTTAGCCGATAACGTTCAACAGCAGACATGCGCAGAAAAGGTGCCATATATTCAAACAAAAGTATGCGGAGTCGTTTTGGCACGGGCGGATTATTTGGTCCTTTGTGATGCAGATGTAAAACGCCAACAGTAAGAATAATTGATAGTGACGTCATGGCCATGGTGACGGTGAGATAAATACCTAAAGTTTGTGACATAAATAGGAAGTGTTCGTCCTTAGTAGAATGTTAATAATGTTGCGTTAATGAAAAGCCTTCATAAGTTGGATTATTACTGAAATTTACCATGAGTATCCAAACAATTTGCTTTATACATTGAAATACGAAGTACAACTATCAAAATAAACTTGAAACGAAACTCTAGCAAGCACTGCATAAGCATGTCACTCTCTGTCAGGTCTGATTGTCAGCGGTAATTTATCCGTCGAAATCAGGATCAGATCCAGACACAACACAGGTTGAACGAAAATAGACGACCGGAAAACTGACCAGATTATTTCCCTTCGTCCATAAACAGTATAGCATGATAAATCTCATAGTCCTGCAACAATTAATGAGGTTCGGACTGTGGCATAACTCCTTAAGGTTAGAGCTACAATTATCCAATTTGGATATTTGCTACAGGCTCATGAAGATGTATATGTCCAGTTCATTTACCAAAATAACTTTATCTGGATAACATTGTCAAGCATATGTATTATTCCAAACGGAATTTGACCTACCACAAACATTACTTAGTGAAATGCTGTCCAAAATGTTTCTCTCTCAAATGATTCAGAAACCTGTCACTATAAGTAGAACTGAAAACGAAAAATCTCAGGTTGCCTCATTCAGATAGATGGGAAATGGATCCTGATTCAGATATGCAGCGTTAGACACAGTAAAAACGCATCCTAAATGCACTAAAATATGATAATGAAGTTTAAGTGTAATGATAAGGTTTGATTCAAATGGAAAAAACAATCAAATTTTTATTTTCCAAAGTATTTTGAATTCAACCGTCATTACTTTTAAGCCGGTGCATATATAAGGCAGTAAAATATATCAATACATTTAACCAATGTACTTTTGTTACTATTTATTAATTTATCCGCTCATGTTTGAAGTAAAAAGTTTAGTTTCAGTATTGACCAAATGAATTTGTTTTGTCAATAGAGAATTTAGGTTAAATCCTACGAAACTGACCAAAATGAAGGGCACTGTGATCCTTTTTCCCTACTCATCAGCTTTCCAATTGAACACTGTTAGCAAATGGGATTTCCAGCTATGGCCAACCAAGGAGCTTTATACGTTCATGTTTTTTGAAGACCTGAGACACCAGTATTTTTCATCCACTTTTTATTAGCCAGTGTTTTTTGTATCCAGCTGAACGTTGTATAACTCATCTACTGTATTATTGATTTTTCTGTCATTCTTGATTTCCCTTCCCCGGGGACATTGTGCTTTTACTAGTTTCCCAAGGCCTGTCATTCCAAAAATCAGTCTACTTATCTTATTTCGTTTTTTCTACACTATTGCTTCATCTACTGAGATCTTCGTTGAGACGATCTCATTAAGAAGTTCGATGGAATATCTAGTGCACAAGAACAACATAGTCCAGTTCAGTTTGATGAGCTTGCAAAAAAGTTCCAATTGCTGAGGCGCTGTTGGCGTGATTCTCTCGATCAGTTTCGAAGTTTTTAGTGAGATTCAAAGCTTTAGTTTGACATGTAGGGTGACACGCAGAAGCAATCTGAATCACCACTAATTAGTGAACCCCTTTTTCTCTCACTCTGTATAGAGCTAACAGCCTCAATGTGAAGAGTACCGTTTGCCGAGAAAGAGCATTTAGGAAAGATACGGCTGTCGTACGATGAACGCAATCAACATGTTAGATGTACTTTCATCAATCAGTCACAAATACACTATGTATATAAATCTATATATATGTGTATATATATGAACAAAGTAATGCGGATGTCACTTATCGTACACAATGGACAGAAAACTAACCAATCAGCGGTACAAATTCACTGGTTGCTGGCATATTTTCCGCAATCAGAAGCATGAATACACTGAACGCGAGCAACACAGTGATACCGAGAGTGATTTTTTCTCCCGAGTCCGGCGGAAGCCAAAAGCTGATCAGACTGAGCACGGTCAACCAAAGACAAGGAAATATGATATTGAACAGGTAGTACAACGTGCGCCGTCTCATATAGATGGTGAAACGCAAGTCCGGGTACGGTTCTTCACAACACGGGTAAACAATCTGTTTCACACAAAGAGACGCAGATGTTGTGAGATAAAGGACCACACATTCAGGGGTGTAATGAAACACGAAAATTTTCAGTGATGATATTTTGTTTTGGAAAGAAATAGTCAATTTGCATCTGTGTGTAATTTGCGGACATTCCTATTTTAAAAATTTCCAGATATTCAAAATTCATAAATTCTGTTCGTCCTGGGAGGCTAATTAAAGTCGTTGTGGTCCACATTACAAAACGGATCCGGCTTCATGAGACGTTGAAACTGATAAATGAACCAGTTCATAATTTAATGAACCCGTATTGTTTCCGCCAGCCGCATAGAACTTAGAAATTAGGGTGCGAACTGCAATCTAGTTGTATTTTTGTGTTGCCCAATTCTTTGATCATACTTGGCAGTCTCCGCAGAGGATTGTACGATGACCTTTGACAGTTTTTATGTAGTTTAAAGATAAGCAATTAGACAAAGAATTCGTTGGTGTGCGCTGGGACAAAATGTTTCGTCGAGATCTGGCGCGCTCAATCTCACAAACGTATGTGCTTCCATGGATGTACAAGCGCGCTAAGTCATACGTAAATATGGCAATATTTTGCAATTTCCTCCCAATCTATGTTACCCAAGTAAATGTTCAATCAATAGCAACTACCTATGATGGATTTGTATACAACAGCGCCCCCGGGCTTCTTAATATTTTGTGATCAAGCTTTTACTAGTAATTTGTAATCTTTTCAAAAAGTAAGTAGTGCCGAATTGTATCACGTTGTAACACGTTTGGTAACTTGCAATATCTGTTTAGCTGTGAGCCCTGCTCATGGTTCACTAGTCCCATGAAAGAACACGCGTCGTTTGAGAACTATCACTTCCACCAACCTAAACCATCGTCCTCTGTATGTTTTTATGTCATAGTCACTGTTATTTCATCTGGAATGTGGGCTAAAAAGTAGAGAGGGGGAGATTTAACTGAATCATGGTTTTTTCGGATTTTAGATGTCAATGCACAATTCAAACCGATCACCCGAATTAGTCGTAAATTCTGATTCGGGATTCGTTACCGATAGGATACAATCGAACTACTCAAAAATCGGAAAACACAATCACGAACGAGGTCCGGATGCGGTAAAGAACAGTACCAAAGCCAGCACCGTTTTGAACATATACTACTTAGGAAACTTGGCGCAAGTGAAAGTAGAAACATGACCATAATAGGTAAAATAGTACTGGACATTATTGAAAGATGATTCAAAATTCTCACTGATGGCACAGAATGGAACTGCAAAACAGTTGTCTAAATTCATCCAGTTTTAGAGTGATACAGCTTCAGTGCTTACGTACAAGTAAGCACGCACATACGACTATACCTTTTCAACTCAAACTGAATCCATCGTAATTTCGAGTGAATCCATTCTAATTAGAATCCCAAAAGGCGATTGGTTCTTTGTCCCTCAGTTGTCGTCTATTTGACTGGGTTTATAAAATTTTCATCCAAACGGAATGAACTGATTTATTTCCAAATGAACATTATTTTAAGTAATTTGAAAGTTCTGATGAGGTGGGTAGTTCCCGTTCACTTTGGGGAAGCATAAACGTATACTGTTGACCGAGTGACCTTTGGATAAGACTGAGCGAACCAGATGTAAATCACCTCGGTCGACCGGGTAAGGAATCGAATCAGGTCAAGATGCATGGATAAATTGGGCACCATGCTCGAGCGGGAATATTGACAGGTTGCGTTGCATGAATGGGCTAAGTCTAGACCCTCAATGAAACCAAGATTCATCCGAATAAGGCCAATTCTTTTAAACCAACTGCGACTGCCTTTGATATAGGTCTGGGATACAATCACTCTTGACAAGATGCTTACCATCATGACAAGGACAATTATACATTTGGGCTATTTCAGCTAAATAGCGGATTTATTCTAAATGCATTTACCAGCTACACGAAATTACTTTTTTCACTGCAATTCCCGGAGTGACTTTTACATTTTTTTCTACAATATCAACGACAACCATCTGACATATACACCTTCTATATTCATTTTCCATCCTCGTTGCTCTTTTCACAGCCTGGTTGCACTTGTAAAATCCATATACAGTCAATCTCCTGCTATGTCACACCCCTCAGGAATTCGAAAAAGGTGGATAAATTTCAGGAACTGCGACATAGTATGTTAGTCAATAGTAGATGTTATTAGGTAGTGTGAAAAAAGGTGGGGAGTTTTGTGACGAATTAAACCGAATGGATGAAAAGTACGTTAATTTCGTTACTTATTTACTTGTTCTTAATGTTCATAGTTATGTACCGTTTATTTATAACCGAATTTAAATATATCATTCTGCTTCTCTTTTATGTAACGAAGAAATTGAAATCTTTTATGATGCCCGCAGCTTAATATTAAAACATTGCGTGCAGCATTTCGCCCTATTTAGTATCAAGTGTCCGTTTATCCTTGAACTACTCACCTTTCTTCAAGGGAATTTCTTCTAACCGGATTAGGGCATAATAATTCCAGATATTTCTTCATTCCTTTATGATGTTAGGCTAAACATAGAATTGAGTGTATGGCGTCCATCATAATATGCAACTGTTTTAGCTATAATAATCACAACATCAATATTAACCCATTCAACGAAAACAAGAATGAACCAGGTCAAACACAGCGAGAACACGGGACAAAAAATCGCATTCGAATGAAATCACGTCAACTAAAATAAGCGAAATATCCGTTACGGAAAACATTCGGTACATTAACTTCTTTCTCATATTCCAAACTGATTGTTCGCTGTGTGATCTGCTCAAATTTTCTGGGGAAAAATGTGTAAAAAATAATATATAACAATAATATATTATTTTTGATTAGACAAATGTACAATCAACGTTCAGGAAGAGGGCTCCGGCCATACAAAGGCTGCCTGGGGAAATACAGAAATAGGGAAGACAGGGCGGTTCGAAGCCCGGGACATCCGGGTCACAGTTCGGTGACCTTACCACTTGGCCACCACCGCCCCATATATAGCTATATTATATAGTTATGTTCTTTGTTTCGCTCTTTTGTCTCCAGTGTATGTTCAAAACCGATTGAAACATTCGTTATGGCCAGTATCGGCAAACATGCGTGACGGATTAAGCTCGTGATTCACAAGTTAAAAGTGCATCGCTCAAACAGTCAGGAGCTTGTCAGACCCTGGTTACGATGACCTGACTAATGTAATGGGTTCTCTAGCGAGGACATGTGCGATTATCGTTCATTCACACGGTGTTTATCGATCACTTGAATCTGACATCTTACGCCACACGCCCGCTTACCAGACCATCGCGATTATAGTTCACCCGTTTAGACGTTAGTGCGACAGAGCCCATCGATTGACCGAATGGCCGTGAGACTACTGGCTACTGCAACAAAATGATCATATTCGAGTGCTCCACCGGACTGCGGAAAAACGTCTTTGCAGATTACCACGGTTTATTTTTAGCAATCAGCCTGGTACCCCTTTGCAAATCAACAAGTGCCCCGTTAAATCAGGTGTACATTCTCTGATTGAGATAACTTTTGGCGCATAGATTGCTTCACATTCTTTTACTTTGCGACGCTTAGCTTGATTCGAAACGAGTTCAAGTCTCTTATTCAGATATGACTGAAAAAGAGACTTAATGCAAAAGTTTCAACGAACCCAGTTCTTCATCATCAGACATCAAACAGGCAATTTTTTTCTTCAAAAAGATCCTCATCAATAGACACACAGTGAGTAAAGTCTACAATCAGATCACATTTATCCTCTGGTGTCTGCATCACTGGCTGATTGAACGTGGGTTTAAACTCAGTATTTATGACAGCGTTGATCAGTAAGTGCGGAGGCACAAATAATCAATCTTTCTTAACCAGATGCATGCCTATGAGGATATTCACTCCGGATTTCATGCCAAGTTGCTCATCTTCGATCACAGACAGAACGTATTCCAGGAAATGTTTGCGAAACGAACATTTGAAGATCAAATCACACCGTAATCCACTGGTTGTAAAATTGAAGCACAGTTCCGAGGCAGCCGTACTGATTTGAATACTGCGGCGTTGTTACGGCAAAAGGCGTCACGTATACGTAGCAAAATATAGCGTCTTTGGAAATTCATCTTGTGGTTGACATGAGATAGCCTACCGCGGAACTCACCCATGGGTTCTTTGAAGAATTATGACTGCAGGTAGGGCCTTCTCTATCTATACCTCGGTAAAATCGGGCAGTTGATATTTTCCACTAACCAACAGTGGTAAATTTTNTCCAATTATTCTCTTTGGATTTCTTGGATCCAGAAACTGTTTTTCCTTTGAGATGTGATGTCCTTTCTGGGAGCTACCTGTAGAACAATTCTGTTTCATCTGCATTGCAAATATCAGCCAGCGTATCCATGGATCAACTACGGTAATCCCACTCGAAACTAATCCACTACATTATGTGGTACCGACAAACTTTCCGCTTGAACCTACAAGGTAATGCATATGAGTTGCTTGTCTCCTACTTTGATGGATTGAATACAACATCTATCGGACCAGGAGGAAAACGAACTTTTGTAGGCCTTGCAGTCACGATGATGTATTCTTGTGCCAGCTGGATTACCTTCTTACAAATGATGCTCGCCGCCATGGGAGAGCTGTGCTTTTCCCCCATAGCAGTAAACCAAGCCAAGGTTGCCTCATTCACTGTCCGGAACTTTTCATTTTTTTCAGATGACATCTTTCTTGAGATGCTCCAGGGTCAAAAAGAATCCGGCAGTGGTTCTATGGGATATAGAACTGTAAATAGTTTTTCTTGGAATACTAAATGATTCGGCTACGGAGCTACGGAGTTGCACCTGGCTGGTTCGGAATTTCCAACACATTCTGCTTCTCTCTGATCGACAGGAGCTTGCGCATTTTGAAGTCAAGTGACACTATCTTTTATTCTTGGCCTCGGTGTCCTCCTCAGAAAGATTGTCCAATCAGTTGACAGTGTCATGTTTGCGTCTCACTAGGTGAAACGCCATTGGCTGAGTGTGACATTGCAGTGTGGACAGTCAATGGCCGTCCCGAACATTGATCAACGACCAAATGAGTAGATATCAGGAACTGCGACATATTGAGTGGTGCGACAGTAAACAGTCATAAGCTATGTTATTACGTATGCGATTGATTTGGGTTTTCTGAAAGATGGGAATATATTGAAAGTGCGACTTCTCAGGGGTGCTACATAGCTAGAGATTGACTGTAGTTCGTTGATTGAGACAAGTGGTGATAAATGTAAGTCACAATTATCCATGATCCCATGATAACTTTGTACCAGGGTGTCAAATTATTAGCAGAGGGAAAACACAACCCATGTTTGCTTTGTTTTATTGATCGAATTTCTCCTAAGCGAGGACGAGATGGCATCATAGGAGAATTCGTGGAGAAACTTGGGCTAAAACTATCAGTGAATAATAGGTGTATTCCTCATTTTGCTTCTACAATTAGGTTTATCGCAGATTATTAGAATTTCTCGCAACGACTCAGACTGAGAGAGAGAGAGTGAAGGACCATCCCAAAAAAGGATACGTTTAGCCACAAATAAGCAGAGTTGCGGGTATCGGATCCACATACAACGTAATTACTCCGATTGCAAAATCCAGTGCAATCTGTGTCAACTGAATTCATTTGTTTGGTACAATATTAATAAGAGTCCATTTTTTTCAATTATCCATCGTCATGCGATGAACAACAAAACAGTTGAACCTCACAGATTTGCGGGTCAAACGTTTGTTCATTATAATCGCCTAATTCAAGCTTTACACTTTAAGTTGCGAAGCCAAAAGATTTGATTGTTTAAAGAGCCCCAGAAAAACAATGATGAGAATAACAATTGGAAACAAGCCCGTTTTCATTGTATATCAAGCATATCAGTACAATATATTCAACGTAACTATCTGACCCCTTTTATTCTGATATGTTGTTCAATTCCGCATGGTCTGTTTTTCTTGTTGTTGCGTTGGCACTAAGCTTGATCGAAAACCAAATATATATATAAAAGAAAACTTGCATTATAATTATTTTCATTTTTGAATATGGAAGACCGAAATTCATCAAGAGTTAAATATCCTTTGCTTGAATGTTTCATGACGGGTCATGTGTCGGTAATGTGGCCACGAGAGCTTGATTATCGGCAGAGATTCCTATTGAGCACACCGCGTGTGTGCCTCCGCTTTTGCTAGAGTGCATGTCTAGACCCTAACGTTTCAATTCAACTCATTGGACGGATGGCTTCGGTCACGTTTACGATGTGATTTTTGTCAAAAACGTACGATATAACACCACTTGCCAGTGACCTAATTACTTCACTTCTCAATTGGTGCTCATTGATGCCCTTGGACAGACGTCTATTCGTGTAACCAACATACTTTGCTCCACAGGAACAAGTGGGAGTAAATAGATATAGAGCCAGGAGAATTAGGCGTACCATCTTTCAATCGCAGATACACAAACGGGCTGGATGTGAGTTGGGTTTAGAGCTTATCTTATTGATGGCATTCACAAACTGCACACCAAAATAATATAATAGGTGTGGTATTAAACTAGACGACAGAAAACTGCTCAACAGCAAAGCTGTGCAGATGCCTATGTTCTAACCTCGGTCTCTGGAACGCAAAGTAAACCATTG